TTTGTTTTTTTTTTTTTTTTTTTTTTTTTTTTTTTTTTTTTTTGAGACCGGATCTTCCTGTAGCCCCAGCTGGCCTGGAACTTATGTCCACCTGAGATCCACCTGCCTCTGCTTCCCCCTGCGGGGATTAAAGGTTTGTGCTACAATGCCTGACTTTTTGTATCTGTAACCCACTCTAGATTTGATTTCCTGCTAGACCCTCTAATCAGTTTCTGCATCTCAAAACATAAGTTCAGAGTATTCAAGTTACTGGTGGAGTATCCCATCCGCTAGGAACCTGCATTGAGGCAGTCAACTGAAACCAAGAACGCAAAGCTTCTTTCCACAGACCTCCTTCAGTGGTAGCTGTCCCTTGTATGGTGTGGCTGCCCTAAATGGCTCCTCTCTGGCCTTGTCATGTCCCTCAGCCTCATCGGTCTGCCACTTTGTGGTTTGGGTTTCTGGCCTCTTGGCCCTCTACTGCCTCCTGCTTCTGCTCTACTGGATCTACAGCAGCTACATCGAGGAGTCCCACAGGTATTCGAATGCCCTACTCAGGACTAGGGGACTAGGGTGGGCTGAGTCCCAGCTCTGCCACAAGGCTTGTTCTCTCTCAGAAGTTCAGTAGGGCTTTGCGTTGCCCTGGGCATCTCAGCCACAGCCACCTTCCTGATCTTAGTATCTGCCTGTATCCTTCGGTTTGGTACCAGTTCTCTCTGCAGTTCCATCACCGCCTTGAACAGAACAAATAGGTAATGGGAAAGGGAGAGCACCCTGGTGGGGACTACCTTCCCTCTTTAGGGGGCAGGTCATACGACTTCCCATTTTATCCACTCCTCTGCCCTTATCTGTAAGGGCACATCTGTTTAGGGGATGTCTCCTTTCTCACAACTGTCTCTTTGGCCTCACAGCTGCTCTGAAGCCCAGAAAATGTCATGGACACCCCCTGGAACTGCTCTGCAGTTTTACGCTAACCTACAGACCGCTGAAGTGAGGCATGGGGATTAGAGATACATTATCTGTAGCTGTAAAATGTTCTCTAGTGTACAGTGTGCCTGGTTGTAATACAGCGACAAGCTGAGTAGCTTGTTAGCCTGACTGGACAGACAGAATGGTGTGCGGGCAGAAGGACTGGATCCAAGATTACACCTCTCCTCACCTTCCTGTTCTCTCTCACAGACCTCTTCTTGGGTGAATCTGGTGTTGTGGTGTTTGATCTTGATGCTCCAGGTCATACAGTTCAAGTCTAAAGCCACCTTATATATCAGCTCACATACCCGATACTGGCCTCAGGAGAGGGCTGACTCCAAGGATGTCTCCGAGACAGATGCTCTTGTTGGGTAACTCAAGTCTCATTCCTGAATAACCAGAGTGCTTTCTGCCGTCTCCACCCAGCCTTGTCTATGCCCTCCAGGAGGGAAACATTAGAACAGGCCCCCTCCACTTTGTTTTCCTGCAGCTTTTTTTTTGGATAAAAACAATGTATTACTGTCTTCATCTTCATACTGACTTTTTTCATATTTTTATTTTATGTGTATGCATGTATTTCCTGCATGTAAGTAAGTGCACCTGTGTCGTGCCATGCCTGCAGAGGACAGAAGGGGCTGTCAGATCCCCTGGAACTGGAGTTACATACAGTTGTTAGCTGCCATGTGGGTGCTGGGATTTGAACCTGGGTCTTCTGCAAGAACAGACAGTGTTCTTAACTGCTGAGCCATCTCTCCAGCCCCTTGATATTGAGTTCTTGATGTTAAGACAAATAGATGAGAGAGAGGAAGGAATGAAGGCTTAAACAGGCATGCATCAGGCTATTTGGAAGACTAATTTATTGACTCAGTGAATCTTGGACCAGTTTTCATGACTCTGGTTATAAGGGTTTTATCCTCATGTGAGGGAATAGTATGACCAGGTCATCCTTTTTACAAGCTCCGGTAGGCACCCACAGTGTTGTCAAAGAGTTGAGTGTTGGGGAAGTGTCCAGTTTTGTCCAAAAGAAAGTAGAAGCACCGGCCTTTGACCTTCAGAGGCAACATGGCAGGAACTTCACCTCTGTGGGCCATGCAGGAAACCTGGTTCAAGGGAACAGTGAAATGGGCCCCCAAGCCAAAGGGAGCATGGGTGGTGAGCTTCACCTGCTGCCCTCCAGCAAGGAGCATGACTGAACGCACAGATCGCAGAGAGAAGACCAGACCAGCAGCAAGGACCAAGGTTCCTGTAGAAAAGAGGGGAAAGGGTCACACAAACCCTTCTAGAGCAGAGTGAGCAAAGGAAATTACAGTAACAGCCATAGGCACTTAAAATGCCAGAATTTCAGTTACTGTACCCACTAGTTTTAGTTTTTGAAGGAACTCATATTCCAGGCTGGCCTGGAGTTTGCTCTATCTGAGAGTAACCTTCAACTCCCGCTCCTCCTGCCTCTACCATCCAAATGCTAAGTTGGCATCCATGTGCCACATACACGGCTTATGGCCATTTCCATTGTCAAAGGGAGAAAATGGGTCTGTGGGTAACGCAGTGTGCTCCCGGTTGGAGTGAAGACCATGACGGTCTGGCACTGCAGGGGTAGAGCACTCTGGAACTTCGTGCTCCACGGTCCTACCGGGTAGCCCACTTACCCCCTGCTCATTGGGAGGACAGGAAGCCAGAGCCCACGCCTTACCCATCGCGCCGCAACCAACTGCTAGCCCGTAGCGCCAGAGCGCAGAGCGCAGGTCCGCCCGGCCCGGGCTGGGAGCCTTGGCATCCGGAGCTCGGCCTGGGGGGTGGTATAAGGCGGCACCCGCCAGGGAGGCCCAGAAGATACCCTGGCCTGCGCAGAACAGCCCGAGGACGGCAAAGAAGCGGCCCCGCTCGTGCTGGAAGAGTAGCACGTCCCGGGGCGGGGCCCAGCTCTGCGAGAGCCGCCGTACGGTTGGGGGCCGCAGTGTGCCCAGCAAGCCGCTGCATCGCCGCCACGGCGCCGCCATGCTCCGGACGCTGCCGCTTCCGGGGCGGGACTTCCTGTCTTGCCACGATCGTTGAGGAAAACAAGCCAGCAATGGGACGCAAGATACAATATCACTCTTTATCTTAAAAAGTAACGGGACTCGGGGGTTAAGTACACAAAGCACCTAGGTCCTTCGGGTAGTTTAGTGTCAGTTCTACAAAGTAAGCTTTGGCTTCCTGGCACCATGAGGCTCAGTCTTCCGGAAGTCTTCCAGAAGGAAGGTGAGAAGGATGCAGCAGCCCCCTCTCCGCAGTCATAGTTACAGGGTGGCCTCGGGCCGGGGCAGGAGACGACGGGAGACAACCAGACATGGTATCCAAGGGCTATTTACAAGGGGGCTTTTTCTGGGATCACTTCATAAACGCTACTTCTGGGATCTCGCCCTTGGCCTGGAGGAAAAGAAAAGGTCAGTAAGTAGAGCTAAGGGTACCCTCCCCACATGCTCTGCCCAGCCCTCCTGAACCTGCCAAAGCAAAGATCCCTGTCCTATGAATTTCCGAACCTCACCTTCAGATGAGTGAAGGCCTGAGCAGATCTCGTATAGTCCCAGTTGTTGTCCTGAAGGCACCTAGAGCCGGAGACCAGGAAAATACCAGTCTAGAATCCACCCTATACAGTCATCCAAGTTTTCCAACAATTATATACACTGTTGCACTATTTACCCAAATGAAACATTCAAAATCAAAATGTTAGCCTGAGGCAGAGGCAGGCCATTAGCAAATTCCAGGCCAGCCAGGCTTACAGAGTGCCACAGGCTAGCTAGGGCTATATAGTAAGAGCATCTCAAGAAAGAAAGAAAAAACCCCAAAACCAAACCAAAGTCCCTGGACTTGGTGGCCATGTCTTTAATCCCAGCACTTGGGGAGTAGAACCAGTCCGATCTGTGAGTTCCAGGCCAGCCTGGAGTACAAACGAAGTTTCAAGACAGACAGGACTACATAATGAGACCCAGTCTCAAAATGACAAAAGGAGGGGCTGGAGAGGTGGTCCAGCGGTTTAGAGCACTGCCTGCTCTTGGAGAGGACCTGGGTTCGATTCCCAGCACCCACATGGCAGCTATGAACTGTCGTGAACTCCAGTTCCAGGGGAATCCAAAGCCCTCTTCTGACCTCTGTGGCACTGCACGACACGGATGTGCTCACATATATGCAGGCAATACACTCATACACATAAAATAAAAATAATTAAAAAGCCAGGTGTGGTGGTAGACGCCTTTAATCCCAGCATTTGGGAGGCAGAGGGAGGTGGATCTTTTTGAGTTTGAGGCCAGCCTGATCTATATAGTGAATCCAGGACAGCTGGGGCTACAGGGAGACTCTATCTCAAAGACAAAAAAAAAAAAAAAAAAAAAAAAAAAAAGACAAAAGGACTCAGGGACATTAGGTCAGTGGTAGAGTGTTTAGCATGTGTGAGGTCCTAGGTTCAATCTCTAGTACTACCCCACAATAGAGTAAGTTTTCAATTGCACTTTCAGAATTTGTCAACAACTAATTTATACACAAGGTAAAACTTTTACAAATCTTTTTTAAAAGAACATTTTGGGGAGGCTGTAGAGTTCACTCAGCAGTTAAGAGCACTAGGCTGCTCTTGCAGAGGACCTGGGTTTGGTTCTCGGCATCCACATGATGGCTAACAACTATCTTTAACTCCAGGTCCATGGGATTTTGACACCCTCTTCTGGCTTCTTTTTGGATGATGGACACACGGTATACTTATACACACAGGCAAAACACATAAAAGTAAATTAAAATAATAAGAGTATAATTCCCACTGGGCGTAGTGGCAGAGGAAGGCAGATCTCTGTGATATCAAGGCCAGCCTGGTTTACATAGTGAGTTCCAGGCCAGCTGGGCCTACAGGGATTCCATCTCAAAAAACCAAAAAAAGAAAAAAAAAAAGATTATTTCTATCAGCCCCATCTCGGTTACTACACATGCTTGGCACTCACTTCTGAGACCACTCAAGGTTCATGCCAGACTGAGTAGAGAATGCTTGCAACATTTCCTGCTGCTCTGGGGAGAGGGTGGGCACTGGGCTGGAAGAAGGCGTGGGTGCAGGCATGGCGAAGGCTCTTTGGATTTCTTCAGGGCTGGCATTCCTCACAAATAATTCGTCATTTACGATACATAGCCTTGGGGACAAAGAACACCTTAAATGCACGTACAAATAAGCTGTCTTCTAGCACTGTTCTGTTCTCAGATACGTGGCACTGATTCTTTTAATGTCCACATAGTACCCCTCCTACTTTTAGCTGTCACCTTTTATCATTTATTTGCTCTCATGGACAAAGTATGATTATCTCCCAAACACTAAAATTACATATCTGACACCCCCCTACAACCTATGGATTGTCATCACCATTTATCTTTTACTTATCTTCACAACAAAATTAATTCTCTGAGAACTGACTTTGCTTTCCAATTACCACACACTGCTGGCCATGGAGTAGGACTGGTACCTAGTGCAATAAGCTGAGCACTTACCCTGAATTGCTGGCAGGAACAGCAATGAATGTTCTGGTGAAAGCGCGTAGAGAATCCCGAGACTTCCCATCCACTGCAATGAAAACAGAAACAATGGGCCCTTTTAGGGTCACTCATGCTTGGTGTTTACAAGTCACAGAAACCTAACTGGGCAGATAAGGATGATAATTTGATCATGAAGGAGCAGAGGTGGGATAAAGAGACAAGTCAGGGAAGACATGACAGTAATAACAGAACTTACAAGCTATAGGAAGTGAAATGACTTAGAAAGTGCTTAACCTGCCAGGCCTGGTGGCATATACCTTTAATCCCAGCAGAAGCAGGAGGCAGAGGCAGAGGCAGGTGGATCTCTGTTGAGTTCCAGGCCAGCCCCACTACAGGAAGACCCGGTCTCAAAAAGACCAAAAAAAAAAAAAAGGGTTCAATCTGAAGCCTGGCGTTAAGTTTGAAGTCACTTTACACTTTATAGTACTACTATGAGAGAGTATTGATAACCTCATCTCACAAGGTGAGTCTGAGAGGTACTGTAACTTGCCTACAGACCCATAGAGTCAAGATGGGGGTGGAAACCAAAACCTGTCTGATTCCTAAAATCTACATTGTCCTGATCCACAGGCTTTTGTCACTGCAGATAGGACAGGTGGAGAAGGTAAGGTAAACCAAGATGGTTTGCAGCAAAAGGAGGTCAGGGAAGAAAAGGGGCAAGAAGATAGCTAGGAAATGAAGAATGCTGAGAAAAGCTCTTGCTAGTGGAAGGACCATGCCACAAACCCAGGACTCAAAAGATTCTCACCTTCCTTGAAGACACCATTGACAGAAAAACACAACAATGTGCTCTGAAAGAGAAGAAAGCATCAGGTACAATGTAGGCTTGCCAACCAGAGCCTGAGCCCCCTCACCTGGTAAATACTGACTCATTACCCACCCCCAGTATCCCAGGCTCCTGTCAGGATAGAAATATGTGCTTACTGTCTGGGCACTTATGTCTACCACGAAGGAATTGACATCATGTTGAGTTTTGGGCAACTCATTGAGGAAGGCAACAACGTTGAGACGTGTGTGCTTCAACAACCGGAACCGCAGCGCTGTGAGCAGAAGGAAGAGAAACCAGGGTTGGGCACCTGTGCACTCCTGAGCTCTCGACTCCCCGCCATTCTTTGCTCACACCACACACTTACTGGGATCTTTAAGCTTCTTCACATTTCTGCTATCCTTGAAGTACTCAGCTAAGTTGCTTCTAGGGAACAGGAGGAAAAAGTGGGGGTGGTCAGAGCAGTGTAGTGTTATCTCCCGAGGAACTCTTTTGGTTCTGAGGAGGCTCTGACATGTGACGCTCACCGGGCGGGGTTCTGGGGACTGAAAGGAATGCTTAGCGAGCAACAGGCGCCATCGTGGTAAGCATCCAGAAGACCCTGCCGGTCTCCCGAGTCATAGATTGCATAGTACCTGTGGGGAAAGCAAAAGAAAGGGTAAGCTCTGCAGTGAGGGGCCCAAGGGTGAGCTGTGTACAGGATGCCCCCTTCCCAGCTCAGGGTCCTGGGACACTCACTGTTGCAGGAAGTGCAGGACCAGACTCTTTAGATTCTCTGTTCCAAAATAGCTTCCCTGGAATCAAACAAGAAATTAGCACCGAACCAGCACTTTTCCCACTGAGTTCTCCCTCTCTCCCCACTTCTGACCTTGCAGGGCGGTAACATTGTGGGGGCTTCAACATCAAAGGCAATTGGAGGGGGTAACTCATGGCCATCCTATGGAGAAGTGAAAGTTACATGTGAATCAGAAGGGCTGGATGTGTAAGGACACAGAGAAGCTACTATTGAAGGGTCAGAAGTCAACCATGAACAGGGTCCAGGAATCCTGATGTCCAACTCTGCCCACCAGCATTTTTCTAGGAGGATTATCACTCTGATCAGATTCTCACACGGATCTGTGTCCCCAAACTAATGGTCATATAAAAACATATTAGGAAGCCGGGCATGGTGGCGCACACCTTTAATCCCAGCACTCGGGAGGCAGAGGCAGGCGGATCTTTGTGAGTTCAAGGCCAGCCTGGTCTACATAGTGAGTTCCAGGCCAGCGGGAGCTATAGAGAGACCATTTCAAAAAGACCAAAAAAAAAAAAAAGGTAAGATGTTGGGAGGGAAAGGTCTCTATTAGTAGAGAATGAAAGGTGTTAAGACTTACCAGGCGTAATAACTTGGGAAATCGTTCGCGAATGGCGCTGTCAAGAACGGGACAGAAGTGAGTGACGCTTCAGAGCCATCATGCCTCCTGGGCTGCTCTAGGAGCAAATACACCAAAAACCCGAGAAACAGCCCATCCTGCTCATCACCCGATCCTCCCCAGCTTCATTTAGAGAAAAGGACCCCCATTCCCCTCCTCACCAGGGGCACCCCTTCTGGATTGCCTTGAAGGCTGACTATCTCTTACCACTGCCTGATCCCGTGTGCCACTGGAAGAGCACTCTCAGCCCAGGCTTTAAGCCCAAGAGCGTCCTTCCCCATCTTTCCCCCCTTACCTTCCACCTACTCACCTGTGTAGCCCCGGGAGGAGGGAATGGGGTGGGAGCCCAGGGGCTCCGCTGCCTCAACAGGTATCCACCAGTTCGGCCAGGTCTGGCGTTGGCCAAGACCAGAACACACCACAAGGATGGCACAGGATGTTGGGGACAGGGAGATGAGCAAGACAGGGCTCAGGAGGAGAGAACGCAAAGGAGAAAAGGGCAGGATGGGGCGAGGACAGAGGAGAGAAGGGGGAGTAAGAGAGGAAGCAGAGACAGCAAAGCAAAAGGGAAAGAACAGGCAAAGAGGCACATACAAAAAAGTAGGAGAAAGCAAGAATCTGACACAGCCGTTTCCTTCAGCTGCCCTTTCCTGGGGTCCAAGGTAGCAATGGAGAACAAGTCTTACTATGGCGGTTGCAGTCGCTGTTGGCCAGGTCTCTGTCTGCTCCCTGGGTTCCGATCTGAGCTGGGCGTGGGAGGCAAAGCAGCCATGGGGGCAGGAGACCTTTCTCAGAAGACCTGAGGATCCAGGCCCCTGCCGAGTTGGGGGGGTGAGGGTCTGTGCCCCACCTCAGTTGGCCCCCAAGTTCTCTCCTGATGGCCCCTCTGCGACTGTGCCTGTCTTAGGTTGTTCCTTCCCTGAGGAATCTTACCCGTCTCTGGCTAACCAGCCATCCTCCGGGGCCAAGCAGGGTGATGTGAGGTGTGCGAGTGAGGGGGGCAGTGCCCCTCATAGGGTCAGTTCTCTGTCTCCTTGGTAGCAGATGCCCCTGTGGCCTCCACGCCCAGCACCTGCCTTGGGATCCCCTCGCCTGCTGGCGGGGCCCCGGCTTTGGTGACATCTTAGGGAACCCAGGTTTCTTCTTCAGGGAGTGCTCAGCTCGCAGTACTGGGCAAGACAGACCCAAGAGCATGGTAGCAGCCTCCAGGTAGGACCAGGCCACAGCCTTAGGTAAGTGCATCATGAGAAGTGGGTCCCTCTTAGCACAATGGCAAGAGGGGCCATCAAAGGTCAAAGGAGGGAAGGCCTATGTCAGCAGGTCGTCCCAGTCAGAGAAGGTTTTCTCAGCCTGAGGACACCAGGCTTTTGGCTAAAGGCAACCGCATGGGTGGGGCATATGATGACACCCCTAGGTCAGAATATAAAAGGGGAGGTGCCCTTCCTGGAACAACAGGGTTGGGAGATTCTAGAAAAGGCTGTGTTCAAGAGGAAAGGAGAAGAGACAGGACCGGCAAAAGGTAGTCAGGTGAGGAGAAAGGAGAGATCTTGGGACAAAGTTGGGAGACACAGACGAGGGGAGTACGTGGTCCTCCCAAAGGACAGGTGGTTCCAGCTCAGGGCTGCATGTTCTCCTGCAGACGGGCACTGGTCAGGGTGCATTAACTCAGCCTCCCAGGGGGTGAAGGTCCCCAGGAGGGGAGACAGAGGCTACAACTGACCTGATATAGGTGGACTGGTCTCGGAAGGTATCACATATGGGGTTTCTGTCAAGCCAGAGTTCTTCCAACTTCAGCCCTTTGATCTTGTCCAACTCCCGCTCAGACTTCAGCTGTGAGGGATTGGACAAAAGGGAAGACAGATGCTGGTAAAGACAGCAGCCAGAACCCCACACTCTAGATTTTCCCAGCACTTGTGGTGCAAGCCTCATGACTTGGGTTTGAGCCCCAGAACCCATAGTGCAAGGAGAAAACCAGCCCCCAAAGTTGCCCTTTGATCTCCATGCAGCATGTGTCCACCACATTCACACACAATCAGACACAACACACACGCCAATAAATTCTTTTAAAAATTTAAAAACAAACAGCCAGGTTATCAAGCCTTACTTCGTTCCCAGAGAGGTTGAGGATCTTAAGGTTGGGTGCCTTCTGCACAATGCTGGACATGTCATCCAGCTTATATAACCTGTTGTTGCTCAAGTTCAAGGATAATAGCTGTAAGTGGGGAAGAGTTCAGAGGAGTCACCAATGAGTTGATCAGAGGTCCACCTGCCCCTTATTCCATCCTACCTGTCGCATCCTGCTTCCTCATGCCCAGAATCTGGGCCAAAGGTCTCACCTCAGGGATGTTCTCTTCAATGATTCTCAGGGCAGCCGCCATAGAGCTTCTGCGATTTAGGACAACATCAATGTTCTGGGCCACCAAATCTTCAGGAAGCAAAAAGAAAGGGAAGACTGAGAGGGCTTGCCCATGCCAAGAATCATTTTCCTGAGTGATAGCTTCCCATCTCCACCTGTCAAGACCATTGCTGTCAGCCATACCTGGGTCTGAGCGGAGGCCCTTGAGGTCAAGTGCTTGTTGGGAACCATCATATCGTTTGCTCATGATCAGCTAAAGAAGACAATCAAAGGGTTCAGTGGTTACTTAGGCTTAGGGTGGGGGAGGGAGATGTTAAAGGCTGGTTATAACAAGTTACTTGAGCTGGCATCACCTTGAGGTGCTCTACTTGTTCGGGCTTCAGTTCACTCTGTATAATATGGGGTGGAGCAGAGGAATTGATGATGATAGATATCTGGAGAGAAGACACAAAGGCAAAGTACACTCCAAGGAAGCCTAATTCCCAGAATCAAGAAATAGTCCCCCTTGTTCTGTGCATCAGCCCCAACCCAAGTGAAGCCAGGCCCTTTGCAGCTATACCCTTCTGTTTTCTCGATCCTGAATCTTATAGTTGACAGCCTTTAATGCAGAAGCAGTACTGGCATCTTCCACAAAAAACTGGGCCCGTGTGTTCTCATAGTGAAACTGGAAAAAGAAACAAGAGCAACTGACTTGAGTCCACAGGCCTTCACCCAGCTCCTTTTGCCCACCCAGGTGCCCAGCCAACTAGCTACCCAGGCCTTGCCTTACCTCAATGGGGGTGAAAGGGACACTGCACTTGCTCTGAATCATGCTTAGGAGCCAGACCTTGTCATACTTTCTGCCATAAGGAATCTGGAAGTGAGAGAAAGAGAAACAAGGGACACAATGTAGCTAAGGCTATTGCAAGTCCAATTCCATTCTCCTTTTGTACTTTCTGCCAAGTTATTTAAAGTCCAGGGGTATAGCTCAGTGGTAGAATGCATGCTTAGTATGCATGAGGCCTTAGGTAGATCCCTTGCAAAAATAAATAATAAACTTTTTCCCCCTAAAGGACCAGTTGTAGGTTTTTCACTTGAGATACATTTGGATTCCTTAAACTCCTTTCCATATACTTAAGAGTTATTATTCTTCAAAACAATCATATTTATGAGCTGAGAAACAGCTCAGTAGACGAAGGAACTTGCTATGAAAGCCTGATAACCCGAGTAAAATCCTGGGAATCCACATAAAAATGGAAAGGGAACTGATTAGACAAAGTTATCTTCTGACCTCCATAGTATACTTTGGCACTGTCCCCAACATCACACATATACAATAAACAAAAATAAAATATTCAAAATGAATAGCCAGGTGTGGTGGCACCCGCTTTTAATCCCAGCACTTAGGAGGCAGAGGCAGGCGGATCTCTGTGAGTTCAAGGCCAGCCTGGTCTACACAGTGAGTTCCAGGACAGGTGGGGCTACAGGGAGACTTTGCCTCAAAAAAGACAACAAAATATAAATAAAACTTATTAATGCTAAAAGTCCCAAGATACTGTTTATATATTACCTTTCCTCAAAGACTAGAGTCTGCAAGACCCACTCTCAGCTTAAGCCAATGAATCCACTCAGGAGTTAGTTTACCTCCTGACCACACTTACCAGATTTCCCTTCCACTAGTCTTCCTGCCTGTCCCTCTCAACTACGTTCCTAGAACCCACTCTTAGCTGTTCTAAGATAGTCATTCTAAGGGAAAGGGTGAGATCCTTGATTGCTGAATAAATAAGTATCTGAGAAGACAGAAAGGAGAGCAGGGCACCAAATACCTTCACTCTGAGCCCAGTCCCGTTTTCCCTAAATCATCTACTTTTTCCAAGGTACTCACTGTAATCTTGAACCAGTTCTTGGTGGTCCCGTCTTGGCTGGGGCCAGCCCCTCCTCTCTCTGAAGGAGCTCTGTCTCTCCGAACAGTAATATGAATTCGATCTCGGTCATGCCAAGTATCACCCCGACGGTTAGGCCGGTTGGCATAGGGGTTGCTATTGGAAAGCAGAATTAAATTTCCATAAACACTAGGAAAGGCCATCCTGCTCAGGGACAACTAGGATTATATAACAAAGCTGGTGCTGACGTGTCACTCTTCAAAGCAGGAAGAGCAAGGACAGACAATTACAGGATAATATAAGTCAGCGGGCCACTGTTCAAGCAGATCAATTAGTCACTCACTATCGTACTCGGGGACCATCCTGGGCATCACTCATTGCCACATCTCCATCATCTTCCTCAAACCGGGTAGATCGAATACCCGAACCCCCTCTTCCAGACCGACGATTCCCCTCTCCACACTTCCATCGGAAAGGCCCCCGGCCTTTCTTTCTTCTCTGAGGGAAACTAACACGGTCATCATGCTCTGGAGTTGGAAACAAGAAGACAAATTAGCAAACACTGATCCAGCTACCTGGGTATGGCAACCAGTTTCTAGTATATCGCACCACTAAAGAGACAGATGCTAACAAAGGCTACCCCCACATACATCCTCTGCCTGGTCGGGGGAAAGAGCTCTTTACAGGATGGCAGCACCAGAAAAAAGGTTTTGGAAAATTGTAGAGCACATAGCTCAGTGGTAGAGTGCTTGCCTAGCATACTCAAGGCCCTGGGTTCAATTTCTAGAATTCTAAAAAAAAGAAAAAAAAATTCCAGGTGTGCTGACACATGCTTGTAATGCCAACAGTTGGGAAGAGATTAGAAGGATCAGCACTTCAAGGTCATCCTCAGCTATATACTGAATTCAAGACTAACCTGGGCTACATGAGACCATGTCTTGAAAAAAAAAAAAAAAAAGACATGGCAGCTAACAAGAGTCTGTAACACCAGTTCCAGGGGATCTACTGCCCTCTTCTGACCTCCACAGGCATTGCATGACATGAGTGCACTTATACACACACACAGGCAATACACTCATAAATGTAAAAATAGAAATAGTAAGTAAATAAGAGGGTGCTGGAGAGATGGCTCAGCGCTCAGCACTCAAGAGCATGGTTAAGAGCACTGCTCTTGCAGAGGACCCGAGTTCGAGTCCCAGCACCCACAAGGTTGTTAACAACTGTCCTTAACTCCAGTTCCAGAGGATCCAACACATTCTTCTGGTGTTTGTGGGCATTGCATGACATCGGTGCATTTACATACATGCAAGAAAACACCCATATACATAAAGAGAAAGAAAAATGCTCATATAAATGATCTTAATTAAACTTAGTGAGAAGAAAAGGAAGGGAGATGAAAGTATGTGTGTTGGGGGGTGGAGCTAGTTTGGAAGAAAGAGTTCAGAGGGAGAGGGAAGTAATAATGGGCAAATTTAATCATAATACATTGAATATATGTATGAAACTGCAAAAAAACCTTTAAAGATTAAGTATTAAAAATAAGGAAAAATGAAGCAAAAGCTGGAACTACAGATAAACAAAATATAGAGGTATGAGAACCCCAAGAATGTAAGTGGTCACAATCAGTCCCTGAAAACTGTCACTTGGTATTTCTTTTGCCTTACACTACAAATGGTAGTCACAGAGCCAGGTGTGTTCCTAACACCCGTAGTCTCAGCATTTGGGAAGTGCAGGCCTCAATTGCATAGTAAGTTCAAAGCCATTCAGGGCTACATGAGGATCCTGTCTCAAAAACCAAAAAATTCTGGTTACAATATGGCCTATTTTAAAGGCTCCTAAAAGCAACAAACATCTCCTTGCACTCAAACTATTACTCTCAAGTTTGGGGCAAGCTTTTGTTTCTTTGAGCAGAAATGCCCTGTAACTTAGGGGCTAACTTCTAGATTCAGGGTCTGATGGCAACTCCACATAACAGTGCTCAATCAGGGTTCCTGAACTGTTTTCTTTTTTAAAAATTTATTATTTTTATTTTATGTGTATGTGTGTATTGCCTGCATGTAGGTAACTGCACCCATGCCATGCAATGCCCTCAGAGGACAGAAGAGGCTTTCGGATCCTCTGGGACTGGAGTTATGGACAGTTGTTAGCTGCCATGTGGGTTCTGGGATTCGAACCCAGGTCTTCTGCAAGAACAACCAGTGTTCTTAACTGCTGAGCTATCTCTCCAGCCCCTCCTGGACTGTTTCCTAAGAATACAGGTGGATCTCTGTGAGATGGAGACCAGCCTGGTCTACATTGCCAGTTCCAGGCCAGCTGTGGCTACAGGGAGACCCTGTCTCAAAAAGACAAACAAGCAAACTTGTAATCCCAGCACTGAGGCTGAAGCAGGAGAATCTGAAACTTCAGGGTCAATCTGTGCAATTTAGTGAGACCCAGTCTCAAAAAACAAACAAAATTTGTAGGGGACTTGTATAACATATGAAAGGTCCCGAGTTCAATCCCCAGCAATGAAATAAAATAAAAAATTTAAAGTTTGTGAGGCAAGGCAAGGTGGCATATGCTTGGAATCCCAAAACTCAGGAGGCTGAGGCAGGAAGACTGACTTTAAGGCCTGCGTGAGCTACATAGGCTGATCTAGTCTCAAAGAAAAATAAAATAATAAGGTTCACTGGGGTGAGGATGGGGTCTGGAGGCATAAAACTTGTCTCAGAATTTTCAGGTCCCGAGTTGATCCTCTGCACAGACACACACACACACTAAGGTCCAAAACATCCGAAGAAATCTTCCTAAGCCCTAGGGTCCTGTAAATAATGAATCCCACCAAGTGACCCTAGGGAGAAAGAATACGTGAACACACAAGCTCACGTTCACACAATTCCCCAGTGCCAGCCACTACGCTCCAAGCACTTGATAGAAATGACCCATTTTGACACACACACACACACACACACACACACACATTTAGGGGCTGGTCCCGTTAACCCACGCTAAGGAGGTGAACGTTGAACGCACTCACTCAGGTCTGGCACAGCAAACACAGGACTCAAACCTCAGCTGTCACGCTCTCCGAAGCACCACAATGAACGATCAAGCCGGTAGTGTTCCAACTAGGAAACTGGAGCTTAAGTCTCGTTTCGCCAAAGCAGCGAACCGGGAGCAAGCCCGACGGGTCGCATCAGAAAATAGGGCAGCAGGGCAGCCCACGAGCAGGGACTACTGACTCACAGTCAAGGAACAGTCGCGCCGCCAAACTGAACTGACAGGCACCCGTCACCCTCGGAGTTCAAAGAGATCTTGTCACTCCGCCCCCAGCCCTCCGCTCCAAGCCACACGTCCTCCACACCGGAACCCGGCGGACGACGCGCAGCCCACCCGAGCCCCGAGAGCGACCCGCGAGCACCCCGTCCCCCGCCCGCGCTCCCGGCTGCCCACGGCCGCTCGGCCCCTCGCGGCCTCTCACCCTGGGGCTGCGGCCTACGCCAGCACCGCCCACCCCGGCCCACCCCGCCCGCGGCCGGCGCGGGGACCCGCACTGACCGTTGTACGACTTCCCTTCGTCCGCCATGGCACGGCCAGGAACAGGGCCGGGCTCAGGCGCGGAACCCGACGCCACCAAACACCCGAAAGCCCAAACGCTCAAGACCGGTACTCTCCTACGACCTGCGCCACAGCATTTATCCGGTGAAGCACGTCGCGCGCCGCCGACGTCCCCAGGCTGTGGGCGGGTCCACGGGGCGGAGCGGCGCTCTCCGAGCCTGCGCACGAGCAACGTGACCGCCAGGAGGCGGGGCCAGGCCCTGCAAGGCCCGCCCACGACCGGATCTGCGGGCGCGGTGGCTTATGGGCGGGATGTCCGGCCTTCCTACTTCTCCGCTGCCGGGGCCGTGGGGAAGTTTGCGCCTGAGCCTGTGCCGGAGCTGAGCGCGGGCTGCCGCAGCCCTGAGCTCAGAGCGCACCCGGGATGAGGCCGGCACAGGAGGAATGGAGGCGGGGCCTCCGAGCGGGGTAACGGCTCCCAGAGTCCCACACCGTGGGTGGGACCAGGCCGCGCTCTGGTCGCAGCCCAGCTCTGTGCCAGCCGGGGACCTATACCCTCCCGGCTTTCTTTGCCTCCACGATGGATTATGACGAAATAGAAATTTGGAATGTAAGCGCCACAGAAGCAAGAACCCTAACTAATGCCTAGTATTTAATCCTGCAGCGCTTCAGGCTCAGTATCATGCCCACAATAGAAACCTGTATTTGTGAAATAAATGAAATCCTTTTCCCTGTAGGACCTCCACAAATTGCCCCGTCAAAAAAGCATGTCAAGGCTGTGGAGAGCACTGGTCTTTACATTCGGCCCTATCCACCAGTCATGCCTAGACAGACACCAAAGTAGCTAGCAGAGATTGGACCATAGTGCCAAGAGCATGAGCTCTTCTAGGACTTGACCTTGGTCGTGGGTGATAGGATCCGCATACCTTTTTGGACCAGGGTGGGGGCCGTGGGGGAGGGTACTAATGGACCTGGGGCAAAGACTTCAGTGTGACTAGGACTGAACAGCTTATTAACCTTCCTGGAGGGGAGGGAGGGCAGCTTCTCCAGTTTCCATTAACTGGCCTAGATTTGCTGAAGATCTTGGACGAAACTAAAAACTTCAGCAGGACCTGGGTAAAAATTCTCTTCTGTTCCTGGCAGCATGTGGAGCTCTGGATTCACTCAAAATCCAGGAGCCAGGTGTGGTGTCACACACCTTTTAATCCCATCACTCCAGAGGCAGAGACAGGTGGCTCTCTGTGAGTTCCAGGCCAGCCTGGGCTACATAGTGAGATCACCTTCCCCACAATCTCAACCTTACACCAGAAACAGAAGAATCAGGAATAAATGGTTTGCATCCGCATATGAAACTGGCCCAAACATTGCCCAAGATGGTCCTGGATGTTGCCACCAATCAGGAACCCACTCTTGGCTTCAGTTCCTCATTTTCAAAGGAAAATTCGGAGCTAATGAAGTCCTGCTACCCTTGATTACTCCTTTTCAGCAGGTAGCTGTAGGAACAGAGCCCAAAAGCCACCCTTGTCAACAGTGGGGTCCCTCAGAGGCACGAACCCATTTTTTTGGTTCAGGTATTAGGCAGTAGGCTCATTTTCTTGCTTATGAAGCCCTTCGATGCTCCCCAAACCCAGAAATGACAACATAGATGGCTAGAGAGGCTGACAGACAGTCTTGCTGTAATTGGGAGGAAATAGGCTGCAGCACATTTGGCAGACTGAGAGTCACCAGCAGCCAAAGTCAGGGTTGTGCAGGCAACTGAAGGGCTCAGAGCCACCCCACCTCACATGGTGAAGGGAGGAAGGCAGTCAAGTTCTAATCCAGATGGGAAAGTTGGTCCCTGGGACAATTTTGCTTCCTCTCCTCACTCTCAAGGCAGGGAGGGGCATCATTTCCCCTTGTTGCCAAAGCTACCTTTCTTTGGAAGAGAGGGGTAAGGGTTTATAAAAATCTCCAGGTGGAGACAACTTCCCCCACCGGCTCCCAGTTGGCCTCTGCTCCCTTACAGCCACTTCACAGCAGAGTCCAAATCCAGAAGCAGTGTTTCAAGGGCCTGAGGGCAGGACAGAGTGGCCAGAGGCAACAGTAGGGGATTAGGGGCACTGGCCATTCTTAGCAGTTCCAAGGAAATGGCCATTCTCCCCAATCACCTTGCACGGGCTCAGTGGCAGCACTGGCCACCTGCTCTCCCAGGAGGGTCTCAAACCCCCACGAAGTGCCTCAGAGTGGGGAGGGTTCAGGCAAGGAAGACCACAAAGATGATGAAGAAGACAATGAGGATAAGGAAGATTTTGATCATGAGCCATCGATTGGAGGTAACTGACTGGAAGTACTTGAGGATCTCTGAATGGGCGGCCTCAACATCCAACTGGGCTCCGAGCACGTTCTCGTCGATCCTGTCAACAGGGCCAGGAAAGGAAACAGGACACTGGATTAAAAAGAATGTTGTTGAAGTCTATTTATCGACAGAAAGATGATCATAGTATGTGGAGTAAAAGGTGTGTGTGCACAACATGATCTCTTTTGTGAATATGTATGTATAGAAAAAGTTCTCTCTATATAGACCAACTGGTGCACTCACAACACTCAGGGAAAACATACAAATAAAATTTTAAAAAAACAAACAAACATAAATTAGGCTGGGTTTGGTGGCACATGCCTTTAATCTGAGTACTTGGGAGGCATAGGTAGGCAGATCTCTGTGAGTTCCAGGCCAGCCTGGTCTAAATAGTGAGTTTAAGATCAGCTAGGGCTACATAGTGAGACCCTGCCTCAAAAATAACAGCAACAACCAACCAACCAACCAACACAGAAAAAGCCCAAAACAGGGCTGCAGAGATGGCTCAGTGGTTAAGAACACTGACTGTTCTTGAAGAAGACCCGGGTTCGAATCCCAGCACCCACAAGGCAGCTAACAACTGTCTGTAACTTCAGTTCCAGGGGATCTGACAGCCTCTTCTGTCGTCCACAGGCACTGCTCCACAGGCACTGCACAACACGGGTGCACCTACTTACATGCAGGCATGACACTCATACACATAAAATAAAAATACTAAATATATTTTTTTAAATCCAAAACAACAAAAAGATAAAATAAAACCACCCCATGATCCCACAGTCATAATTTAAAGGAAAAGAGAAAGCTCCTTTACAAGTGGCCAGCTAAAAATGAACAGACTGGCAGAAAATTATCAATGTAAAAAAATGATTCAGGCAAAGACCACTGTGCGGTTAGGAGCTGGACCGTCACATATCCTCAAAGCATCAATGCTGAGTATTCAGTCTCATAGTCCACACAAATCACAAGTACCCAGTTAAAATTTCTACTAAAGGGATAACCACATCAAGTAGTCACTGATGAAATCATCACTTCAGAATTCTTCAGCTTTAGCTGGGTGCTCACCTTTTGGTCTACATAGGGAGTTCCAGGCCAACTGTTGCTACAAGGAGACCCTGTCTCAAGAAAAGACCAAAAAGAACAAAACCAAAACCAAAAAACCCTTCAGCTTTAGGCTAATCATGAATAATGGACCAAAAAGAAAAAGTTGATGTCACACACACACAAAGGAAGACTGAAAAACCCTTATAATCAAGTTCATGTGAACTGTCTGGATGGGTTTTGTTGTTGTTGCTTACATTTATTTACTTAGTGTGTATGCATGAGGGCGTGCACATACCATAGTGCTCATGTGGAGATCTAAGGACAATCTGCGGAAGTTTTTTTTTTTCTTTTTTTTTTAACCATGTGGGTTCCAGGATTCAAACTCAGGCTTGGTGACAAGCACCCTTCCCTTACCTGGTGAGGTCCTGAGGTTTTTTTGTTTTTTTTTTTGTCTTTTTGAAACAGGGTCTCCCTCCCTGTCCAGCTGGCCTGGAACTCACTATGTAGACCAGGCTGGCCTTGAACTCACAGAGATCCATCTGCCTCTGCCTTTGGAGTGCTGCTGGGACTAAAGGCGTGTGCCAGCATGCCCTAGTACGGGTTTTTTTTTAATTCAAGAGGACAAAACCTGGGCTGGAGGGATGGCTCAGCAGTTAAGAACACTGGTTGTTCTTGCAGAAGACCTGGGTTTGAATCCTAGCACCCACACGGCAGCTAACAGCTGTCCTTAACTCCAGTCCCAAGGGATCCGACAGCCTCTTCTGACCTCGGGCATTGCATGACAAGGGTGCACTTATCTCCATGCAGGCAATACACGCATACACATAAAATTTAAAAAAAAATTTTTTTTTAAATAAAAAATTCAGGGCTGGAGAAATGGCTCAGTGGTTAAGAGCACTGACTGCCCTTGCAGAGGACCCAGGTTTGATGATTCCCAGCACCCACATGGCGGCTACGAACTGTCCTTAACTCCAGTTCCAGGAGATTCCAAAGCCCTCTTCTGACCTCCACGGCATTGCATAACACGGGTGCACTCACATACAGGCAGGCAATACACTCACACACATAAAATAAAAATAATAAATTAATTTAAAAAATTAAAACAAAACAAAACAGAGGACAAAACCTAAAAACTGCTGGGAATGGTGGCACATGCCTTTAATCGCAGCATTTGGGAGGCAGAGGTAGACAGATATCTGTGAGTTCCAGGCCAGGTGGGGCTACAGGGAGACCCTGTCTCAAAAACACCAAAAAAAAAACCCACCAAAATTTAAAAACTATGGCTGGGGCTATAATTCAGTGGTAGAAAAACGACTAACACAATGACCTGGGATTAATTCCTAGCAGGGGGTTGGGAGGCTAGGAGGTAGCTTTCATTTTTTGATAAATGTTTTAATTCTACTACCACACCCTTCTCCAGCTGCAAGTCTGAACAATGTATCTAATGACTCTTCTTCAAGGACAGAGAATTTTGTGATTAAGTAAAGGAACAAACCAGCACAGAAGTTGCCTAAGATCTAAACTTAATTGCAGATCAAGCAGCTTCAAAGACCCAGTAGGGGCTACTACCTAAGCATTCCCAGGTGTTCCTCTCCTACCACCCACACAATTCTTTTAAGTGTGTCCTTTCCACTTAATTAATAAATTCACTAACTTTGCCTCACTCCTACTTGTCTTGAAATCCTTTTCTGTGGCTCTGGAGGAGGGAGCCTCTGTCCACCAGGCTCTGAGAAGTGCTTTTCAGACTGCACCTGACAACACAGCTGCATTTCCTGCTGCTGGTGACACTGAGAGTCAACAAAGATAAGTAAGGCCTACAGAATAGACACATTAACATGAAAGCCTACTCCATCTTGAATTTCTTTCCTCCACTCCTCCCTGTCTTCCTACCTCTCTCTTTTCCTTTCTTGTAGTACTGGGGATTGAACCTAGGGCCTTGCCCATGCTAGATAAATGCTTTACCATCTAGCTATCCCCAACTCTTTCTTTTTTTTTTTTTTTTTTCTTTTTGGGACAGGGTCTCCCTGTGGCCCTAGCTGTCCTGGAACTCACTATGTAGACCAGGCTGGCCTTGAATTTACAGAGATCCACCTGCCTTTGCGTCCTGAGTGCTAGAATTAAAGGGATTAAAGACCTGTGCTACCATGCCCAGCCTTGTTTTTGTTTTTTTTTTTGAGACAGAGACTCCCTGTAGCCTTAGCTGGCCTGGAACTACATATACATAGACCAGGCTGGCCTGAACCTAATAGAGATACACCTGTCTCTGCCTCCCGAGTGCTGGGACTAAAGTGTGCGCCACCACAACTGGCCCTTTTTCTTCCTTTGTGGGTCTGGTCTCATGAAATGACTCAGGCTGGCCTCAAACTCACAGTTCTTTTACCTCAGCTTCCCGAATGACAGGACTAAGTACAAACCACAAGGCACAGCTTCCTTGTTGCACTCTGAAGCAAAATTTCTGGAGAGAGTTGTCTGTTCTTATTTCTTTCCTGTTTCTTTGGTAGTAGCAAGAATTGAAGCCATGGGCCTTATACATTCTAGGTTAGTAAGCATTCTATTACTACTACACCCTCAGCTTGGTTTTTTTTTTTTTTTTTTTTTGAGACTTGAATGTGGGTACTTAATTTCTGTGTATGGGTATGTGTGCTTGTGTGTGGTATGTGTCTGTGGTGTATGCATGTGCACCTATGTACACTCAGAGGCCAGAAGCAGCTGGGCGTCCCATTCTATTAGGCTTTGCCTTATTCCCTGGAGACAGGGTCTCTCACTGAATTCAAACCTTGCTGTTCCAACCAAGTTGGTTGTCCTAAGAGCTTCTGTGATCCACGTCTCTGACCCCCAAGGCTGGGGTTACAAGTACTTGAGGTCACGTTCGGCTTTTATGTAGGTGCTAGGGATTTGAACTTGGGTCCTTATGCTTTGTAGCAAGCACTCTTACCCACTGGGCTATCTCCCATGCCCTTCCCCAGATCTTTTAAGCTTTAAAACATCATGCTAAGTTGCCAACCATGGTCTTAAAACTTGCCTGGCCCTCAAATGGTAATTTTAAAATTTAAAATTAGCCAGATGGTGGCACATGGCATGCTAGCACTTGGGAGGGAGAGGCAGGGAGGGATTAGAAGGCCAGCCTCAGCTACAAAGAACATCTATTGAGTTCAAAGCAGCCTGGGCTACATGATATGAGAGCCTGTCTCAAACAAACAGAAAAATGCACTATTTGAAACTAAAAGTTCATCACTTGGGTAGAACAGCTGAATGAAGATGGCACTGAGGTATATGTTAGTATATACATACACACTATACAAAAACAATACACTGTAAAAAAATTTTTTTTTCTCTTATTTTCAAATGAAAATGACAGAAACAAAAAACTATTTGAGGGGCTGGAGAGATAGCTCAGCAGTTAGGAGCACTGGCTGCTTTTGCAGAGGACCCTGGGTTTGATTCCCAGCATCCATATTGCAGTTGATGTCTATAACTCCAGTTCCAGGGACTCTAAAACCCTCTTCTGATCTCCATCGGCATTGCACAACACAGACACAATGCAGGCAATACACTCATACACAGAAAATAAAAGCAATTTAAAATATGTCAGGTGTGGTGGTGCACGCCTTTAGTCCCAGCACTTGTGAGGCAGAGCCAGGCAGATCTATGAGTTTGGAGGCCAGCTTGGTCTACATAGCGAGTTCCAGGCCAGCTGGGACTACAGAGAGACCCTGCCTCAAAAAAACAACCAAAAAAGTTCAAGGCCATTCTTGGCTGCATAGGAAGTTCAAGGCCAGCCTGGGCTACAAGAAACCCCCTCTCAAAAACAAAACAAAAACCAAAAACCCAGACAGTATCAAACTGCCTTCCAGAGACTCAGCATACACCCACAGACTAGAGCAGCTCTCAGTCCTCACAGAAGCTTCTCTCTCTATGCAGTAGATGGTGCAGAGACTCAGAACTGGTCAAGTGCAGAGAATAAGTGACTGAGGAGTGCTCAGCTCTAAATGGGACATCACATCAAATACCCTCTCCTACAAGGTTCAGGAATACTGTACAAGAGGCAAGGCAGAAAGATTAAGAGCCAGAGGTCAGGAAAGATTACTTTGAAATAGTGGTGGTATACAGATGTAAACCCAGCACTGAGGAGACAGACACAGGAGGATCTCTAGTTCAGCCAGCCTAGGCTGTATAGTGAAACACACACACAAAAAGACCACGATGGATAACTGAAGAGAAACTGAGGAAGACACCTGAGGTTGACCTCTGGCCTCCACATACATGTACATGTGTTCCCACAATGGTGAACATGTACACACACACACACACACACACACACACACACATCACAAGCAAAATCAAAGAAAATCACATCTAGATATAACACAGTCAACTGCTAAAAAAAAAGTGAAGGAAAAAAAAAACTGAAAAGCAGCCAGATAAAATACACCACACACACACATACACACAGGAGAGAGGGCTCAGCCATTAAGGAGCACTAGCCGCTCTTGCAGAGGACCCAGGTTAGGTTCCCAGCACCCCCATGGGGGCTAACAACCATCCATAACTCCAGTTCAAGGGGATCTGACATCCTCTCTGGCCTCTATGAATACTGCACACATGTAGGGCACTTACATACATGCAGGCAAAATACTCACATACATCAAATAAGCAAAAAAAAAACCCACATACATATAACAATTAAATTTACCACTAACATTTCATTACAAAGCAAGAACCAAAAGGTATATAATGATTAAAGAATAAACTACAAACCCAGAATTCTGTCTAGTGAAAATAACCAAATGTGGAAGGTAAAATAAAGGCATTTTCAGATAAAAGAAACTGAAAGAAATTTTCATCATCATATCTGCAGTGTAAAAAATACTCAAGAAGTTCTTCAGGTTAAAGGGAAGTGAGACAGACGGGAATCTGCACACTGAGGCAGCACAAAGATGCCAGAAATGGAGAACATATCAGTAAACATAAAATGGTGCTTTTGTCTCCTAATTTCTCTAGAATATACTTCATTTTAAGTCAAGTCATAGTGTTCTATGGAATTTGTATAGAATCTGGTACAACAACCAAGAAAGCATGAAGGATGGAGAAGAGGACTGTGCAGTTTGTTTTCTTTTTTGCATTACTGGAGATGGGACCTAGGGCCTCATGCATGATAGGCAAGCCCTCTGCCACTAAATCACATCCCAAATCCTTTTTTATTCAGACAGAATTTCATCATGTAGCTCAGGCTGGCTTGAACTCTCAATCTTCCTACCTGAGCCTCCCAGTGCTAGGATCATATGGGTATACCACCATGTCTGTTCAACTTGTCACAGTTCATACAAAGTAACTGAGAAAAGCTAAAAATGCATATTGTAAGTTGGGTGTGGTGAACAGAGGCCAGCCTGGTCTACATATCCAGTTCCAGGTCAGCTGAGACCACAGGGAGACTTTGTCTCATTTAGATACTTTTCTTGAATAACTATATATATGTATATATATTGTTTTTTGGTCTTTTTGAGACAGGGTCTCTCTGTAGCCCCAGCTGTCCTGGAACTCACTAATGTAGACCAGGCCTGCCTTGAACTCACAGAGATCCACATGCCTCTGTCTCCCAAGTGCTGGGATTAAAGGTGTGCACCACCACACTGGGCAAATAACATTTTTTAGAACTGTGTTAATTTATTAGAATGAATTGCACTGCCAAGCTAAATAGAATGAATTATTCAAATTCAAAAACAAAAAAAAACCACAAAGCATACCGTAATCCCTAGAGCAAACGCCCCCCCAAACAAAATACAACACACACAAAAAACAATACTATATGGACCCATCTGTCTATTCTGTATTTCGACTTAATGTCTAACTCATTTTTGGATGTGTCTAATATGGAACTTATTTTTCCCTTACACTGAATATACCCCAGTGTTAACAGTATTACTTTAAGTGAAGGACAGAATATTTCTTCTTGCTCACATCTATAACCTGGAGTTAAAAACTCCACCCTTTATCTCATACTATTTAGTTCACGAAACTTTGGTCTACATAGAGAATTCCAGCTGGGGCTACAGGGAGACCCTGTCTCAAAAAGACCAAAAAAAAAAAAAAAAGGTATGAGGGGTCAGGGGTGGAAATGGCTCAGTGGTTTTAACACTTGTTGCTCTTCCAAGGGTCCTGAGTTCAGTGCACAACACCAACCTGAGACAGTTCACAACTGCCTGTAACTCCTGCTCAAGGGGATCCAACTCCCTCTTCTGTTTCCACAGGCATTCAGAGACATGGCTCTTGTGTGTGTGTGCGCGCATGCACACACACACACACACAATCTTTTTATTTTATGTGCATGTGTCTGCTTGCATTTATGTATGTGCACCATGTTTGTGCAGTGCCCATGGAGACCAGAAGAGGGTGTCAGATCCCCTGGAACTGGAGTTACAGATGGTTGTTAGCTGCCATGTAAGTGCTGGGAACTGAACCCAGGTCTTCTGTAAGTGTAGTCAGTGCTCTTAACTGCTGCTCCATCTCTCCAATCCATAAAAATAAATCTTAAGGGGCTGGAGAAATGGCTCAGTGGTTAAGAGCACTGACTGTTCTTGCAGAAGACCTGGGTTCAAATCCCACCACCCACATGGCAGCTAACAACTGTCCATAACTCCAGCTCCAGGGGATCTGACAGTGTCTTCTGTCCTCCACAGGCATTGCACTACACAGGTGCACTTACCTACATGCAGGCAATACATGCGTA